AAAAAAAAAAATCTCCCTGAATAGCACCTTCCTACATGTGCAGTGCTGCTGCCTCTGGTACCTGAGGGCTTCCTGACTGCAGAGGGTACCTTCACGACAGAGGACATACTGATGCTTATTTCTATTCCAACTAATTTTAAGTAACTATTAATTTGATAACATGGCTCAGCTAAATTAGCATTCCTTTTAATTTTACAAAATCCTTAATCTACTGAATAATTATAGAATTTGATATGAAACTACTTTTGAAGATTAAAATTGAAGCTTGAACTCTGGGCTTGGGCACTGTCCCTGTGCTCGGGCACTGTCCCTGTGCTCTTCAGCTCAAGGCAAGCACTCTACCACTTAAGCCACAGTGCCACTTCTGGTTTTCTGGTGGTTTTTATTGGAGATAAGAGTCTCACGGAGTTTCCTGCCTGGGCTGGCTTTGAACTGCGATCCTCAGATCTCAGCCTCCTTAGTAGTAGGATTACAGGCATGAGCCACCAGCGCCCGGCTTGAATTCTCTATCTTAAAGTTCTCTTTCTAGTATTTAGTAAACTGATTCCAGGTGAGGTGCCATTCTGTTTCCTTTTCCTTTTAACTCTCACTTTTAAAGTTCTCACTTTTTAGATAAGGTCTCACTATGTAACTCAGGCTGACCTTGAACTCACAATCTTTCTGCCTTCCAAGTGCTTGGATTACAAGTGTGTGCCACACCACACCTGGAGAGTTTATTGTTAATGGCTTTCCAACTGCCCTAATAAGTGATCACCTGTTATGCCAACTTAGAAATGTGGACCTCAGGAGCACAGCTTCCTATCAGAGGCTGGCAGCATGGGCAGCTGGAACACTTTAAAACAGTGTCCAGGAGGGTAAGCCCAGGCAGGCAACCATCACCCAGAGAAGCCTGCAATAGATACTATAAACCAAACAGCATAAAAATGCCATACGCTCTCGCTTCCAAATAAAAGCTAAATATTATAGAAACCTCACAGTGTTGGAAAAAGCAAGTTCAATTTAAAACATAGTCACTCCCTCCTGATCAGGGTGAGCCACTTTCTGTCTGGGTCTCTTCATGTCTCAGTGCTCTCTGGCAGGTCCTAGGGGAGAGTTTATTGCAAATGATGTAAACAGCAAATGCTACAGGTGCCCTCATCAAAACTGCTAATGCTAGAACCCTCCTCCTTCAGCCCTGCCCTTCTTGTGTCCATTCTACCCAGACTCCTCCACATCTACTCCCTTCAAGCACTTCTACCTGTATTGAAGCATTAACAAATTTAGTGAGCATGCATGGGGGGGAGGGGTGCATGGGGCTCACTGCACAGCCACGGCAAGGAGCCTGAGCTTTGCCCTCACTGCCCTCAGTGATGCGCTACAAAGTGGGGTGGTGCTGATGGGAAGGGCTTGTTTGGGCATCATTGAGAAATGGACCCAATCAAGTACTAGAGTAAAGGACAGGGCCCTCTTGCTGGCTTTCATGATGGACTGGGGACAGGTCGATAAAGCCACAGTAGAGTAGCAGACTGGGAAGGGAACAGGCCAGGGCCTTCAACAATAGATAGGCACATAGGAATGGAGTCTAAGCAATGTCCAGGCCCTTGGGAGCACCAATACCTTAGCTCTGGGTGCAGGAGAGAAACTACATGCCACAGCTGTGGAGAGCAGGCAGCAGACATTCAGAAAAGGCCTCCCACCCTCACCGCACCTTGAGGAAGCCTCAGACAATGAACCACAGACTAGCTGAAAGCAAAACACAAGCTTGCCCTAGACCTGAAGCAGGGATCTGCTACACGCTGGGAGAGCCAGTGCCTTTGGCTCAGCATACAACAAAGAACATGTTCAAGTCTGCTTATATGAACTGTGCCTGCACTGAAAGGAAGTGTGGAATGGTTAGATGACAGCCCAGCCAGGGAGGGCATTGCCCGTGGAAACTCCATGCATCTCTTCCTACTCTTCAACTGCTACCCTCTAAAAAGGAACCATCCCATCCCGCAAGCTGCTGGCCCAGCACCCCTCTTCACAGGCTCTGTCCAGTACTGCTCATATGGAGAGCATTCTTCTGGTGCTATAAGGAGGTCCTGACTAGTAGGGGCCTCATGTAATGGACAGAGGCCATGGACATTCTCCTGGCTGGCTTGCCAACATACGTCCACCCCTTCCTCTACCCAGATCCTCATCATATGCAGAGCAATGATGGAAGTCTCCATAGAAGTTACTCCTTTTGGTGTTTTATGAAAGGAGGGAATTTCCAAATGCATTCAACACAAAGTGACTACAAATTTTGACAGGACAGGAATCACCTTCTACTCTAGACTCAGTGAGGCAAACCTAGTAATCTGCTCTTGTAGTAGGCCTTATTTTCTATGAGAGGAAAGATGTGTGGACATCAATAGAGTCAAAGCAAGGCAGTCTTTATACGCCTCCCAGTCAGGGGAATGTCTGTGGTCTGCCTTCATCCTTGTTGCTGGACTGCACCTGAGCTCGGAGTTGGGGTTCTGAGAGTCTTGCATTTCCCTGCACTGTTCTTTGAGTGTAAAAAAGAATGTAGGCCTGGGTTTTGCACACTTCCTCCACACTGCATACATTCAGCTTTGAGTCATTGCAGTGAACCCAAAAACCTAGGAAACCAAAGGAGAGAAAGAGAGAAAATAACTACCCAATTTATGTTTCTAGTCAGCTTCAGAACCAGGAGATGAAAAAGGGGAGAGAGGAGCACAGGAGATGGCTGCACGTTGACCCTGAGGAGGGAAAGGACAAGTGAAGGAAACCAGGCTTCCTCATAACCACTGGCTTCTGCCCCACCAAACCTGACCACAAAGACTGCTTATAGTATCAACTCAGTGTAATTTCCATCCTCATCTTACTGGGCTTTTTCATTGTCCATTATAACGGCCACAAAGACAACCAGGATATAAGGGACTAAGATATGGGGAGAGGTGGAGAAAACGGAAATAGCAGGGAGAGGTAATGGGAACTAGAGGATAAGAGAGGCAGCTGTTGGCTTCCCCAAGGGCTGAAGGGTTCAAGATCAGGGCACTGCTGGAAAGCCACCTGCCACTCACCTCTCAAGGCAGTAGGTGGGAGGCTCCACCCTGGGACAAGGGCTGTAAGCTCCTCTGGAGGGGCCCCGCGTCCCTCCACGCCCCAGAGTAAGGGAGGTGGTCAGTCAGGACACAGAAAGGACTCCGTGATAGTCCTCATCTTTATGGCAAGCAAGGCTAGTGCAATTTGCAGCATGCCTCCATGAGTTTGCACAGGTGCTACAGGTCATTCATAACTGAGGAGGAAGCTGAGAGTGCTGAAGTATACAACCAGAGGGATGGGGAAATGATTAATAACCAGTACTGCTGACAACTCTACACTAACCTTCAACACTGAGCAGGCATGGATCTAATAAGCACTTTACCTGAGCCAGTTCCTTTTAATTCTTAGAACCACTTTATGTGGTTACTTGGTATATATCCCAAACTGGAACCCAACATTCATAATTATTTTCACTGGATCTGAATGTACATAACTTCCCTCTAGGTGACCCAGGGCATAGAAATAAAAGGAAAGCATAAAATGTGAACACACCAACCCTTTTCCGTGTCCCCCACCCCACAGAGTAAAGCGCACGCACCTCCCTCTGTGTTGTAGCAATAGGCTGTGTAGTGTCCTGAGCCAAACCCTTTCCCGTGATGCATGACCACTGCGGAGAGATCATAGGCAAAGGTCTCTTTGTCAAGAGAGGAGAGCATGTCCCTGCAGCAGTAAGGTTCCATGGTTAATACCTGGTCAAAGGCGACATGGACCCCAATCTTCTCTCGATGATTACGGCCAGACCACCTAGAATGTGACAGAAACTTCTTACTAGTTAAGACTGGCACATATGAGCAGAGGGAGAGTTAGGTAAAACAGGGAACCAAGTAAACTCGACCTTTCAGTTCTGGTTTTCCCATTAATAAAATGGAAATACCCAATGCATTTGTTGTGAATTTTCTATAAAATATTCAAACCTAGAAATCCATAAGCCGGCAATCGGTTTATATTACTGCCTGCCAACTTCTCACAAATTATACTTCATCCTAAAGATAAATCTACATAGCCAAAGCACAGCTAGAAGAGTTTAGGCGCAGACATCAGTACAGGCATGAAACAGACCCACAGAGCAAAGCCCAGTCTGCTGGCTCTAGTACTGGCTTGCCCATTCTTCAGTGTGGACCATTCAGTCTCCATGGAAAGCTCCAAATCTCAAGAGCAGATTTCTCCTCCCAACACAAGAAGCCCTTGCGGCAGCTATTCCCATAGCTCACAGCCATCTGGAAGTCCCCGTAGAAGCTCACCTGAATCTCTTAAGGTGCAGCCGGAGGACCTGAGGTAGTCTGTAGATCATTAACTGCTTTCTAGCTTCACTCAGAACAAGGGGTTTTGGATTGGACTTTCGTCGTTTGCCTACACGGTTTGGGAAGGCATAAGACATAGGTTGTGAGGTGTCTTATTTTTTTCATAGTTATGACAGAAACAGTGGCTGGGCAGGGAGGGCTTGCCTAGTGAGGCCTTGAATTCAAACCCCAACCCTGTCACCTATCACCAGAAAAGAGGGCTGGTTCCGTTGTAAGATGCATCCCTTTGCCAGGCACCAGTGCCTCATGCCTATACCTTAGCTACTCAGGAGGCTGAGATCTGAGGATCATGGTTCCAAGCCAGCCTGGGCAGAAATGTCTGTGAGACTTATCTCCAATAAATGTCTCAGAAAAAGCTGGCAGTGGCAATGTGGCTCATAGCCTTGAGCACAAAGATGCTCAGGAACAGCACCCAGGCCCTGAGTTCAAGCCCTAGGATGGGAGGGGGGCAGGTGGAGGGGCGGGGAGGCAGCGCACCCTTTTGCTCTTCCCAGTTTCCTAGAATGTTTTTGGGACCATGAGGTAACCTTGAGTGGGAACAGAAGCTCTGCAGTACAACAGGACAATAAAACAGAAAGGAGTCAGGGTCCTAAAGAGCATGCTGCCACCCTGCCAGCCCCTGAATGCCCTCCAGACTTCTACTTAATAGAAAAATACAAATATATCTCACTCTAACTCGCAACAAGCAACCAAATCGAATCCTCATATATTTACTGTCAAATTTTTGCTAAAAACAAGTGTGTTGTTGGTATGGGCTCGGGTTGGTGCACTCCAGATGTCCTGATTTATTGATGGCAGTATAATGGATGATTACTCCAACAGTTTGCAGGCAAAGCAGCCTAGGCCAGGGTTCTATGTCTGTATAGATCCCACTTAAATTGTGAGGCACTGTGATATAATTTACAAAGCGTTAGGCCTAACTCTAGTTCCTCCTCCCAGCTATGGTGTACTAAATGATAAGTTATTCAAAAATCTGAACCTCAATTCCCTTCACCAGTAAATGGAGAGTAATGCACATATTCAATACTCAGGACTAAAGGACTGTGAGAGGGGGCTGCACTAACAAGGAGGATGAAAGAATAGGAATGAAGTAGATCATTTCCATGTATGAAAGTGGAACAACAAAATGTACTGAAATTGATTTAGGAAATGGGTGAGACAAAATGTAGAAAGGGTGTGACACTGACTAGAATACATAGTATACATGTATAGAAATATCATAGTTCCCTCCTTGCATAATTAATGTATGCTAATTAAAGCAACAAGCTATTTAAACAAATTTCAGCATGGTTTGCATGCAACATACACAAATATTTAGAAAAGAAACCCTGTTGGTTGTTTTTATGCCATACTTTTTTTTTTTTTGGTCAGTCATGGAGCTTGAACTCTGGGCCTGGGTGCTGTACCTGAGCATTTTAGCTCAAGGTTACCACTCTACCACTTGAGCCACAGCGCCACTTCCAGTTTTCTGGTAGTTTATTGGCGATCAGACGAGTCTCATAGGCATTCCTGCCTGGTCTGGCTTTGAACCAAGATCCTCAAATCTCAGCATCCTGAGTAGCTGGGATTACACTCATGAGCCACCAGCACCCAGCACCCAGGTTTTTTAAACCTGCTTCTTAGATAAAAGTGTTACTCCTGGGGCTGGGAAGGTGACTCAGTGGTAGAGTGCTTGCCTTTCATGCCTGAGGCCCTGGGTTCGATTCCTCAGCACCACATAAGCTAAAAGAAAAAAGCCGGAGGTGGCGCTGTGGCTCAAGTGGTAGAGTGCTAGCCTTGAGCTGAAGAGCCGAGGGACAGTGCCCAGGCCCAGAGTCAAGGCCTCATGACTGGACCCAAAAACAAAACAAAACAAAACAACAAAAAAAGTGTTACTCCTGGACATATGGTACAAGGCTGGTAGCCTAGACAAGTTCATTCAGTCCGACACAGAAGCTGTGTTCTTGACACTAATTTTGTTTCTAAAGGGAAAAGGTAGCGAGGTGCTTGTGGCTCATGTCAGGCTACTCAGGAGGCCAAGGTCTGAGATCTAAGAATTGCAGTTCGAAGCCAACCCAAGCTGGAAAGTCTATAAGACTCTGATCTCCAATTAATTACCAAAAAGCTGGGAGTCTTGAAGAAAGCTCAGGGATAGCACCCACCCAGTGTTCAAGTCCCAAAACTGGAACAAAAAAAGAGGGGGGGGAGCAGGGAATGCATTTCTAATATTTAACAAATAATGGAAAAAAAAGTTTTCTTTCGTTCCCATCACAAGCCTCTATAATTAATCATTTACTGATAATCAAAGAGGTAAATGGTTAAAAATATACAATTAGTGGTCCACTGAGATGCCTGTTCATTCAACCATTGCTATCATGGCCTCAGTGTATGATGGATATAGCCACTAATTCCAAGTCTCTTCTGATGATTTGTCACAGCTTTCTATGACAACAGAAGGTGGAGGTGTCACTGCTCATGCCAGACTGCATCATGAGTATGCAGCCAGCATGCAATCTGAACAGGTGGGGACAGGAGCATTAGAGAGGAGTCCTGTTTTCCATTTCCAGGATTTCTGAAAATCATTTCAGCTGTTTGGGAACCTGGCAGTGACTGGCACGGCCAGCAGAGGGGGTGTATGAGCCCAGATGAAAATAATGCGTAACCCAGGCTTTGTTTTCCTTAAATGAAATTCACAAAAGAAAAGGGATTACTGGTTCAATTGAGATTGATCAGTTCTGTCCTGGTGTGATTAAAGTGGACACAGAGAGGCAGAAGACAAGACATTCCAAAACATCACATGCAATAGATCAGTGCAGCCCATCCCCTCACCACAGCTTTCCTTCCCTGCCATTATTTGCACCTGCTTAAAGCAATCCTGAGGAGTTGGCACACAGGGTAACCGAAAAAAACAAGCCTTAACTGTAAAACCAAATAAGAGTTATTTCTTGCCTAATTTGTCATATCCAAGAATAACAAAATTGTTAATATATTTTTGTTCCTTGCAAAAGAAAGGTTTTATGAATTACTGTTTAAAAAAAATAGGTTTGGTTGGGCCCTGATGGCTCATACCTATAATTCTAGATACTGAGGAGGCTGAGATCTGAGAATGGTGGTTTAAAGCCAGTGCAGGTAGGAAAGTCCATGAGACTATTATCTCCAATAAATTACTCAGAAAAAGCCGGAAGTAGCGCTGCGTCAAGTGGTAGAGCGCTAGCCTTGAGCACAAAGAGGCTCAGGAACAGTACCTAAGCCTGGAGTTCAAGCCCCAGGTTGGACCCCCTGCCAAAAAAAATTGCTCTAATAAACAATTTTTTCTTTTTTCTTTTTTTTGGCAGTACTGGGGTTTGAACTCAGGGCCACTTGAGCTGCACGTCCAGTCTTGTTTTTTGCTGGTTATTTTAGAAGATATCTATTGAATTGTTTTTTGCCTGGGCTGGCCTTGAACTGTAATCCTCCAGATCTCAGACTCTTGAGTAGCAAGGATCACAGATGAGAGCTACCATCCCTGGGGTTACTCCAATTTAACTCATCTAGGTATCTCAAAATGGAGCAGCAGGACAGGTAAATTTATACTTAGTCAAGTATAACATTTTAATTTTATGCACAGTAGGATTACAAGTGTGAGCCAATATTTCAACTTTTAAGATGCAAAAATATATAAAGTGGGGGCTGGGAATTTAGCCTAGTGGTAGAGTGCTTGCCTAGCATGCATGAAGCCCTGGGTTCAATTCCTCAGCACCACATAAACAGAAAAGGCCAGAAGTGGCACTGTGGCTCAACTGGTAGAGTGCTAGCCTTGAGCTGAAGAGCTGAGGGACAGCACCCAGGCCCAGAGTTCAGGCCCCAAGACTGATAAACACACAAAAAGATATAAAGTATGATTTTTTTTGGTCCTGATTCTTCATAGGTAAGTTTCCTACAATTTAGTATTTTTTAATGTGCAAAAATACTTTGAAATGTTAATGTATTAAGGTTTTTGATTGGTCATGGGGTTTGAACTCAGGGCCTGGGTACTGTCCCTGACCCCTTTTGTTCAAGGCTAGAACTCTACCACTTGAGCCACAACACCACTTCCTGTTTTTCTGTGTATGTAGTACTGAGGAATTGAACCCAGGGCAGCATGCATTCTAGGCAAGCACTGAACCACTAGGCCACATTCCTAGCATAAGTTTATGTCTTTAGTTTCCAAATGTTTGTATGCCATAAAAACTAAATATGTACTTCTACATTTTTGCCCTGCATTTCTTCTGAGTAGGCTGGGTTAGCAGAAGCATCAAGTGTTAGTAGACAGAAGAGACTACATAAGATGCCCAGGGTAACCTAATTTAAAATTAAGGAAATAATACAGAAATACTTCTCTATGACTTTCTGTGAAGTGCCAGCCTTGCAAGCATGTGAGAGAAAACGAAACACAGAAAGTGTCTTTGAAACTGCCACTGAACACCTTGAGATCTGCTGCCTTGCTCCTGCTGTAGCAATTGTTAGCATCACTTCTGCAGTTATAACATCTAGGCTTCTCTGATATCACATCCCTGGAATGAGCCATGTGCATTTGACTACATGGACCTGTAGCACAGTCTGTGTTGTATTGTGAAGTTAAGCACTAATACTCTCAACCCAAAATAAAAAGTGATGTGGGTCAGGAGAGGACAAAGCAGTTCCAACTCTGACCCTCCTCCTTGACTTTGCGGTGGTGGGGATGAACTCAGACCTTGCAGGTAATAAGCACGGTGCCTAACGGAGTGTTCTAAATGAGCTACCACCTGTGCCCTAGATCTTTATTTGTAAAACAACTGAGTCTATATTGCTTATTTTCAGAAAATGGGGAAAGCCTTTAAAAGACAACTTAGAAGCACCTTCAAATGACATTCCAGTTGCTTCCCCCCCCCCCCGCCCAGTTCTCTACCCAGCACTTACTGTTACACTGGTCACAAGCGTAGATTCTCCCTTCTAGCGCCTCTGTCTCTGTGAACTTGGCCAGCATCTCAGTGAGCAGGCACTCTGTCTGATTCAAAGGGACAAACCCTTTTTCTATGCAGTGATAGCGTTCAGGGAATTCCAGGGACAGATCCCAAAAGGGCTCAATGGTATTGGATTTGTAATTGCATGATACACATGTGACCTAGAATAAAAAGTTTGGTTTGCATATTATCTATAATTTTCATATTTCACACATATAATTTTGCTTGCTTTATATAAAACATATTACTACCAAAACTAAGTGTATAATTTTCAAAAACCATAGTATTGCCAGGCTTTGGTGGCTCACACCTATAATCCTAGCTATTCAGAGGCTGAGATCTGAGGATCACAGTTCAAAGCCAGGCCAGGCAGGAAAACCTGAGAGACTCTTATCTCCAATTAACCTCCAAAAAAGCCAGAAATGGAGGTGGTGGCTCAAGTGGTAGAGCACTAGCTTTGAACATAAAAGCTCAGGAACAGCATGCTCAGGCCCTTAGTTCAAGACCACTGAAAGGAGGATTGTGGTTTGAAACCAGCCTGGGAAGAAAAATATTTGTGACTCCATCTCCAAAACCACCAGCAAAACATGAGTTTGAGGCATAGTTCAAATGCTAGAGTACCAGCTAAGTAAGCAAAGCTGAGTACCAGGTCTTGAGTTCAAACCCTGGTGCCAGAAACACACACACACACACACACATATTCTTAAAGAACTGGAGTATTAAAATGTGATACACATTCTAACCATGTGACACTAATTACATATTAGAGAAACCACAGAGAAAACATTTCACCCACCAGGTTCCTCTCACAGTGTGCTCTCTACTGCAGGCTGAGCAGCACACACTGCAGGTTAGGGTGGCAGCATGGTTGGGGGCAGGTTCTGCTCTCAAGAGCCCCTTAACTTGGCCCTTTCATGCGGCCAACTTGCCTGTTTGCCCTTGCTTCTTGCAGCACCATACCTCAGACTTCCTCACATTTACAACTTTCCCAGATGCACTTCCCATGCTTGAAAAAAAAAAAGCCTCAATAAACTTTCTCTTCCCAACCTACCAGTCTTTGAAAACTCTAAAAAGTCAAGGTATGAAACCATTGTCTTCAAAGCTGCCTGCCCCTACTTTTAAAATCTATAAATTTTTCTTTCCTCCTGTTTTTGCTAGAAATCTTTGCCTAGGTTACTGCTGGTCAGATTCAGGAAAGGTGACAGGGTACAGGAAGGAGGCTTGCTTAGACTTTTGGCAGGCTAGCCACACTACTCCTCCTGTAGGTGATGGAAAAGAATGTTCAGCAGCTACTATGGCATCAAGGAAACAGGCAAATTCTGTTCAGTTTCCTAAAAGCGGCTAAAGGATGGGGGATGGCAACAGTGAGTAATTATACAACCGGAATAGTGGGTTATCCACGATTTCATTCACTGAACATACCATGTGTGGCCAGTGAAACCAAAAATCTGTTCAGGAAGGGCAGGCAAGTTCACCAACAAGGCCAACACAGTATATGGTACAGTGGGCACCCTCAAATATGCATAATCCCCTAAAACGTTTGGCCATACTCATTAGCTGGGAATGTGGGGAGCCATTCACAGGAAGCCAAACTTCCTCCAAGCTTCTTTGATTGTGTTGGGCAGAGCCGGGGCTGGGGTGAGTGTACACTTACCTGACTGAGCAGCTGCCCATGAAATATGGTGTTGACCACCTTTAAGACCTGTTTGGTGAGCTTCCTCTGGGAGAAGGGGATGAGGATCCGGCGCGTAGAGCCCTCGGACTCGAGTTCCTGCTGTACTTTGTGAAGCAACTCGCAGAGAAATTCCTGTGCATCCTGCTGGTCGTAGCCGCGGAAGGCGGGGATGAGGCTCCACACCGAGTGGAGCATCGCGAAGGGCGACACCAGGGCCCACTTCCCGGACCACATGACTCGAAAGAGGGTGTGCAGTTCGTGGCAGAGGGAAATGTGCTTGGAGCTGGGCTCCTTGTTCTGGATGAGCTCCAGGCTCCGGCTGATGGACGCGCCACCGTTCCAGCAGAGGCCCTCCACCCGGTCGCTCTTGGCCGACAGCTGGGTGGCAGAGCTGGCCGGCCTGCCAGGGAGCGGAGCCTTGCCGTTGGCGGCCTGGGGAAAGAGGTGCTCAGTGGTGGAGGGGTCGAGGTTCAGGAAGCACTCCCGGAACTTCTGGAGGTGGCTGAGCACCTGCAGGATGGAGTTCATGTAGCAGGTGTTGCCCAGGTTGCGCAGGCCTGTGACGCCGGGGGCCACGGTGGGCTGGCGGCGCGGCTTGAGCGGGCT